GTGCTGCGGAGTTGGGAGCCAACAAATTTCTTGACGTTGCAGAACGAGCCGGTTATTTCTACGACAAGGTAGCGATCGCGGGCTCTGGTCTTGTTCGATCGGCATAGAGGTAGACTAAATCACCTACAGCAACGCGGTCAGTGGGGGTGCTCTTTGAGATAGGTGTCTTTGACTTCTCACTGTGGGGTGGTTAGACAACCGTTGTGTATGTTGTCGTGGGATGATGTCCTGGTCTTGTAGGGGGATCTGCTGGTTTGTGAACTGATCACGTTGGGTCCACATCTCTCTTGCGGAAAGACCACGTGGAGCGAAGGTGCGCGTTTAGATTGGCTGTGACCACGGCGAGTTGCACGTGGTTTACTGGACCGCCTAGTGGATCATGGCGGAGTAGTTCGCTTTCGACCTCCTGTACTGCCCGCTCTGCAATAGGGTTCTTGTTTCTGTTTTTGGCGTCGCCGATCTCAAGGGTGATCCTGTGGTGTTTCAGTAGTTGATCATCCCTGAGTGCTTTGAATCCTGGGGCTGGGTCGGTGCGTTATGACGGCTGTTGGTCCATCTAGTGGACGTGTTGGACACAAAGACGGATAAGAGCGTCGCGCAGAGTGTTGTGACGCTCGTCTTCCAGCAGGGTTGTGGCTGTAAACGATGTCACGCACTCACGTAGTACAAGCACAAGTTGGCTTGAGCGTTTGATGACATCTGCGGCAAATGATACGCCAACTGCATCGGGAGGGGGGCAGGGCGACTGCTCCACGCGCATTTTCGGAGTTTGGCGTGAGAGGCACAGATGTGGCAAGCTTGGGTCACGCGTCGATGGCCTTGTGTATGTCTAAGGCATATAGGTACCGGTTGGTTACAGCCTGGAGTTGATGGCTCGACGGATGGGTGAGCTGCAAGTGTAGGGCTGTCAGCAGTCCATCAAGCACTTGTCGAGGACAATGATGCACTCGCGGGTTAGGTACAAAGGGGTTCATCACGCCGGACAACGAGCAAGCCATCGTTTGCAATGGTAGCGACGTTCAGGTATCTTTTAACATCTTTTATGTTGGTAAGTTTCTTGAAGGGCATGTCCCTTGTTGTAAGTGGTAGCGAGTACGCCACAGATCGGCACATTCGCCTGAATGGCTAACCAGGCAGTGCGGCTGGTGAAGGGTAGGCGCTCATCACCACGCAGTATATCCTGTACCGATGTGTTTCTGACAACGGAGTCTTGGGTGAGTTTTGTGAAGGCGCAGATCTGGCAGGCTTCGTCTTCGCAAGGGGGTGCGCGGCGGCTGGCGAAATCAGAGGGTAGGATCGCAGATCCGGATACATGTCTGACGGACGCTGATACCGCTCACAGTTGATTGAAAGGTGGAGACGCGAGGGCTAGCGGAAAACTCCCCGCGACAGAGTTTTTCAAATGCCTGTACGCACGGTTTGCTGTCGGTTAGGATGCAGGCCTTGTGAAGGGATTGGATTAGGTACGGGCTGAAGTGCTTGGTGGCAAAGGCAATAGCTAGGGCCTCCACCTCACACGGTAACCATGTCGGTTGTGAGCCACGTAGCTTTGTGCTAAAGAACCCTGCCAAATGAAGTTTGTTGTCACGGCTGACGTAAAGCGTGGCTCCTATTCCAGGCTTACGGACCGCCCCGTCTGTCACAATCCACAACTGGTCACTTGGTTTGGGTAGCGAGATGGTGCGAGCAGTGGAGAGGGCTTTCTGGGCATGGAGGAACGAAGTTTGGAGGTTGTCTGACCATTGTATGTGTTCTTTAGATTCGCGGCCAGCTACGGTGTCATCAAGTTGTGCAAGGAGTGACGAGCACCCGGGAATTACGCGGGAGAGCACCTTGTATGCTCCTATGAATGATCGCATGCGACCAACGGTTTCGGGTTCAGGACACGAGGCGAGGGTGGCGATCGCGGTGAGGGCTTGCTCTTAAAGTGCCAGCGTTCCAAATCCATCCCAGTATTGTTGTGGACCGAGGATTGATGATCGCCTTCGATGCGGGAGAGGCGGAGGTCACACTTGTGGAGGGCTGCTAGAACCTTCCTCCAGTTTCGTATGAGTTCTTGTGGCGTGTTTCCCCCACAGTATAGATCGCTCTGCGATTTTGGCGACGACGCCTTCTTCTAAAAGGTGACCAAGGACGCCGACACATAAGTTCTTCCAGTGCCGTTTCAGAGCCGGGTATGCCCATGGCCGACCGTGTGTATACGCCACTCCCGGAATGGGGTAGCTACCCCACAGTACTTCATGGAGGCACGCGAGAGGGATTTGGTAAAAGCGCTGGTCAAGTCCGATGCGATGATGTGTTTCCACTGGGCGATATGGCGTAACGTGGAGTCCACATCTGGCATGAGTGAAGGTTGTGGCTTACTGTAGCGGCCGACATCAGCGAATGCAGTAACTAGGCGGGAGCCACCATTGGGTTTCTTGACGAAATGATGGGTTCAGGTACTCGACCGCGACGTTTATGTCTTGGGCGACTGAAGACACCCAAAGCTTCAAGTTCGTCAAATTTCTGCTGGAGCTCCACTAGCTGGTGACGGGCATACTGTGGTAGACGGCCTTTCCGCTGGGGGTTCTACAGGTCCCATGTTGACTCTTGCTTGAACGGACCTTCCGCACCATTGTAGCCCTTGATGTTTGGGTCGAACACGTGGTCATACTCGTCCAACAGCGGTGAACTTTGCTCTTTTATCCCGGGAAGTAAGTTGTCTGGGTCAAGGCGTACGGTTGACGAGTGTTTTGTACCTGGGATAGGTACTGATGGTTTGGGAGGTGGCTTTGCTGTTGTGGGTGAGTTGTCGCCGAGGGGTTCTGGTGTGAAGGTGGCGCGTACCTGGCAGAAGTGCTCATTTCGCTTGAGGAAGTGCGGCTCGGATGAGAGATTGGGAATACGATCTTTCCTGCCACGCTAGAGACTATGCGTGGGGTGGGCCACAGTTGGGAAGCTGACAACTGCCTAACGCTGGGGGCATCTGTTCGAGGCTCTAAGGCGTATTCGAGTCAGTGGGGACGCCGTGTGGTAGGTCGACTTCAACAAACTCTCCGGGCCAGACGGTCATTGACGGGGGAGAGCGGTGTACTATTGCACGACGTGCGGCGGGTTTACTGTAGCCGGGTGTGGGGACCCGTAACTGACGATGGAACCGTTGTGGAGGATCACTTGGCGCTTAGCTGGGCGTACTGCAATATCGTTGGTTTCCATAAAGGGGGTGCCTGCCAGTATGTCCACGCCGAGGTTCTCAACGACGAGTCCTTCAAGGTGAAATCTCGGCCTTCGCAGCTTAATAAGAAGCGTGTCTCACCGATGACCTGAAGGGGGGGATGAGCCGCCTGCTTGGTGGACGGACTGGGAGCTAGATGTCATGTGGCAGCCAAGACGTTGGGCGACAGTGTGGCGGATCATGTTTCCAGTAACCCCACTATCGATGGTGATTCGTGCGGGGTAGTGGGAGTAGAACATGTCTAGGTACGGTGACTGGCGGGTCTGTAGGCGCGGAAGACCTTAGGGCCTGGGCCAGGTCTAACGCCGCCGGTGTCGCTTTCTGGGTCGGTCATGTCGGGTGGGGTCTCAGGTTCATGGGGAGCATCAAAGATGTCGGCGATCTGTCTGGCCTTCGCGATGTATTTGCGGTCTTGGTCTGGAAGGAAATTGCATTCGCTCAAGAAATGGTTGTCGGGGCGACCTGCCTGTTTGCAAAGGGGACAGGACTTAGTGGGGCGGCTGGGTCGTAGTCGCCTTTATACGGGTTTTGACGCCGAGAGGTCTGCGGTAGTTAGTGACAGCGGTGCGCATGATCTTGGCATCAGCGGTGCGTATTTCGTCGAACAGGGAAGTAAGGGCCTGAGATATCTCTGGCTTTATGGAGGCCAGAGTCCGTGATCGTAGCTCAGTTCCATACCGCTGTTTCACTAACTTAGGTAGCTCGGGGTGGATCAGTTTAAGCCAGGTGAGAACGATGAAATTCTCCAGGGTGGGGGTGAGTTCCTCATCTTCTGTGGTAACCTCACCATGGTGTGAAAGGCTATTTGCACGGAGTAGAGTGTCCTCCACGAAGGCCATCAGTCTCTGAAAGAGATCCTCTGGCTTCATCTGCTTCCAAATGTAAGCCAGCGAAATCTAGAAAGTGGGCGCCTGTGACTTGGAAGCCAAAATGTGCACCGAATCATGTTCCAAACAGAGTGAATCAAGTCGAGTTCTTCACGAGAGGGTCCTGGATATCACTGGGCAATAGTTGGCTATTTGTCCGAGCATTAGTTCGAGAAAATTGACCTTCTGACGGGCCGTTTTGCGTCTGGAGATCGGGATGGTTTCCCGTCATCTGTAAGGCCGCGTAGGGGCTGGGACTTAGTCTTTTTCCCCACGTGGCGTCTTCTGCGAGGAAAGGAGCGAAATTGCTGTCGAGGATAAAGTGTACAACAGATTTTGTCTCCAGTTCTCGAAGCTGTTGATGGACTCGTTCTTTGACAGGCTCCACTGTTTTGGCGCTCGGAGGGTACTCGCCATAGTTGTGGTTTGGTTGCAAGTTTACGAATAAATCGTGCTTGGGCGACGAAGGTGTTCGAAGTATCGACTTACCGACGTTTGTACGGGTAGCTCTGGCTTTGTTTTCTTTTCGGGTTCTTGGCGTAGATCCGGAAGCGCTGCCACCACGCCAGTAAAGAGAGAGTCGGTCGATCGATGACACGGTTCAGGTAAAGCAACTGCTACTTTAATGCTACTGTAGGCACAACAGCGAAATACAGAACAAAACTCAAGAGCGAGACACGAAAGCGTCTAGGGCGCGTGTCCTTATCTACAGTACCGCTGACCGGTACTGGCGGACAGTTACATGTGATCATAAGAGTCATACCGGATGCGGTGTATTTGCTGTCACAAAACTTGAAAGAAACAGTGCTACAGTGTACAGTGCATTAAAAAAGTATCCATTAAAATGTCTGTAAAAAAACATTAGGCATTTAAGTTGGAGAGTTCGTCAGATGCTGAACAGTACAATTGCATAATGCTCACTTCTCAAGGCGTTCCAACTCCTTCTTCAAAATGTTGACAAATTTCTCTTGACCAGAGATTCTCAGCTTACATGGGACTTGCATCCCCTCTCCGTCCCCAAAGTTAACAGCTTTGTCAGCTTTTATGGTCACACTACAGGAACTATGCTGGTCTGCTTCAAGAAAATAAAAGATTGTTTTAGCAAAGTGTCCACGTTTTCCTCTCTTCAAATGGCCCACCACTTCACCATCTGTGACCTCTCACGCGAAAACGTACACTAACGGCTTTCCGTTAAACGGGTGAAATGCACGGCTGTCGAACGGGTAAGAAACGGCCCACGAAGCCGTTTGAAACGGATGAAACGGAACGGCTGAACGGCTGATAATTTATTTTGAATGGATTGGTATAACGGCTGAACGGCTAGCGAAAAATTTCGAACGGATGGTAATCACGTCTGAATGGCTAAAAAAATTTTCGAACGGTAGACCTGAACGGCTGAACGGCAGGAGTAAAATTTCGAACGGATGGTCCTGAACGGCTCGTCAAAAACTTCGAACGGATGGTAATCACGGCTGAACGGCTAAAAAAAATTTCGAACGGTAGACCTGAACGGCTGAACGGCACGAGTAAAATTTCGAACGGTAGACCTGAACAGCTGAACGGCTCGAGTAAAATTTCGAACGAATGATCATGCACGGGAGAAGGGATTGTCATGACTGGCTGCGAATGGAACTAACGGATAACCATTAACTGTAGAACGGCTCATGTTTTAGCAATAATTATTTATATATTGTTTCAAACGGATTGTTAATGACTGGCTGCGAACGGAACAGACCAAAGATTAATGTTTATTACTTTCGCTACGCAAACCGCTCGCTAAATGCTCACCTTTACAGCGAAAAATGCCTTAATACCACCAAATGCAAAGATTACTCGTCAACGCGTCGCCCGACGGTCGTGGTTGTTTGCCGAAAACAACAACAAAAGAGCGATTAAACGCTTGATGGTTTTGAATAAAAACTTGCTATGGCCATCACAAATGGAAAATGTGAATAGAAATAATGTTAAAAAGCTTACATCACGATGAATAAATCGGCAGCGGTAAGTATTTTTGAATATCGAATTATGAATGAAAGTAAAGCTTGCATCATTTAGACCGTTTTGAAACTAATTAATTGCGTAGTGTCACGTCGCCAGAGAAAACTTCGAGATGTCACGCTTGTCGTGATTCTCACCCGTGCTGGCCAACGAGCAACAAACCGTCGCTTCATAGAACTATGCCATAGTTGTACACTGTTCTTTGCAAAAAAATCTAAGGCCTTTTAAAAAATGACGAGAGTTTTGGTTCACGAAAAATAAATCATCAGATAGTTGACTGAGTGGATGTTGGTCACTTGCTAGGCAACGAGTTTTGCAAGTGACTCAAATTTCATTCGCGAGCAGAAAGATCAGAAAGTGTTACTGGTAAAACCCTTTTCTCTTCGTTTGGTAGACTGTTTCCCGTGATTCTGGTAGCGGGTCATTAAACGAGTTAAATCGCCACTTCCACCAATAGTTTCTTGGTAGTTTACCTGGGATCAGAGGAACACGTTTTCGACTCAACAATTGCGGTGAAACAGTTGTTTACACAAGACAGTATTAATTTTTGTCGCTCTGTCAGACTTTTTTCGGTCGGTTCTGAATTTCATGTTTGGTTCAAGATCAATGTTACGTTACGGCAAGAAAGCAACGAAGCACGGCTAGAACAAGATTTCGCAAACTACCATTTCGTGTCTTCGTTTTGCAGACGACCGGCCACAAGGCAGTGCATAAGGCCATCTGAACAGCGTAAAATTAATTATGATCCAAAGCGTTTGAATGAACGGTTCCAACTGATTGAAGTTTTGAACGGGTGGATAATTTTTCTGAACGGATGACCAAGTCGTTCGAACGGATTCAAATTTTTCTGAACGGGTGCCACGGCCGTTTGAACGGATAGACAATTTTTCTGAACGGATGGCACAAGCCGTTCGAACGGATGGATGATTTTTGTGAACGGATGACCAAACCGCTCGAACGGATGCAAATTTTTCTGAACGGGTACACTAGCCGTTCGAACGGTTGGGCAATTTTTGTGAACGGATGACACAGCCGTTCGAACGGCTTGACTTCCTTTTTAAACGGATCGCCCAAGCCGTTCGAACGGATGCAAGTTTTTTCTGAACGGATGAGAAACGGCTTGTGAACGGATTTCCGTTCAAAAACGGGAAGCCGTTAGTTTACATTTTCGCGTGAGAGGTCACATCTTTTAGGACACACACCGCGTATTTATCTACAGCATTGTTTGGTTCTGGAATTGCTTGCAGAACTTGTCCCTGGCATGGTTTCCAGTCATCTAAATAAGCGTGATATCCCTTCACATGCGAATCAATTTTAAATGAACTGCTTGGCTGCATGATGTTCGGCTGATATTCGGCTGTCTATAATGTGGCGAACCAATAATAAAATGTGCCCGGGGAAAATGGACTGGACGTGTCG